GGTAGAAGGACCGGAACGTGGCGATGCCGTAGTAGAGCTTGCCGTCGCTGCCGACGAGGCTGTCCGTGAAGGAGAGGAGCACGCAGGAGAGCGCGCAGGCGCCGATGAGCGCCAGCACCAGGTACCCGTTGGCCGTGTGGCAGACGCCGTGGTTGGTGAAGGACGGCGCCAGCGCCTGGAACGCCATCACCGTGCCCGTCGGGAGCAGCTTCAGCAGGTCCGACGCGCCCGACAGCGTCTTGTCCACCGGCGACTTGCCCTTGACTGGCTTCGCTTCCTGAGGCGGGCATTCTTGGCCGGTCACGGGCATTTGGACGCTTATCGCACCGGAATCCATGGAGCCGCCGGCCGGCTGATTCGACGATACACCGGAATCCATGGAGCCACCGGCCGGCTGATTCGACGAGGAGATTTACGAGCTACGTAGATGCTTTGGCGCCGTTGGGCTCCCTTTTATATCGAGTACGTGAGTGAGGAGTGTCAACCTGCGACAAGCAACAGGATGTGGTTGCTCGGAGCTACACGCGAGAGTGACGCCGGTGTAACCGAAATATTCTCGGCCTTTCGAACGCATGCAGGGTGGCTCACCCGGCCAAGGTAGCTTGGTTGCAATGATAAGAAACTGCACACAGAAACGGTTGTGCCAGACACTGGCCGATCCACAACGGACTCCTAGTTTCGGACGGACAGTCGTCGCTCAAGAAGTTGAGCTTACTTGAAAAAGGTTATCACAATAGCGACATGTCCCCCGCAAAAAAAGGTCTGTCTCTAGTTATTGCACATCTAAGTGATTCAATCAAATTAGAAAGAAAAATAAAAAAGACAAAATAAAATCCTTGTATGAATCTTAGCGTAAAATCAATGACATAGGACTTAGATGTACAATACTTAGAGCATATCTAGATGTGCTTTAGCAAAACTGGAAAAAACCTACATGCCAGACGCCTGACTTTGGATTTGGGCCAGTCGATTTCGCTACAAGGGAGAAACAGCCGGATACGAGGAAGAAACTCGCTGGAGGAGAGGAAGAAGCTCGTTGGCAGGCTACCCCATCATCTATCTTAGGGTGAGGGGTGGGGAGGCATCACGGCAGTGGTGGGGGTGGCCACACGTCATGGTGCAAGTTCGCCGAAGAAAAACCGGTCATCCCCCGGGGCTAGAGGGATGGCCGGGGGCAATGGCAAGACCGGCGATGGGGGCGGTTCAGGGGAGCACGATGCAGCGAGGCGGTCGCGGGGGCGCCGCCGGCCGCAGGGGCTGTAGCGGGCGGCGGGGGAAGAAGAACACGAGCGACCTGTTTTTAGGAAGGAGGAATAAGACGTAATCCAAACCGTTCTTTTTTTTATCTAGCGCTTGAGATTGATCGTACCAAAATCGACGGTCCTAAAGGAAATTTCAGTCGACTGGCTCCTAGCCATTCCCAAAGGTTATTAATAAATAAGCATCAATTTTAATTAAAAAGGAAATTCATCGTGTTCTTTATTTCTTTAATCATCAACTCAGATAATATGGAGGTGATTGAGAGCATGCAGGAAGGAGGACAATCAGCGGGTGCGGCGTCGGCG